GTAGTGTTGTCTATGGAGTGTTTATCTATGGTACAGTGTTGAGTCTATGGGGTAGTGGTTGAGTCTATGGGTAGTGTTGAGTCTATGGTACAGTGTTGAGTCTATGGGTAGTGTTGAGTCTATGGGTAGTGTTGAGTCTATGGGCAGTGTTGAGTCTGTGGGTAGTGTTGAGTCTATGGGTAGTGTTGAGTCTATGGTACATGTTGAGTCATGGGTAGTTTTGAGTCTATGGTACCGTGTTGAGTCTATGGTAGTGTTGAGTCTATGGGTAGTGTTGAGTCTATGTCAGTGTTGAGTCTATGGGCAGTGTTGAGTCTATGGTAGTGTTGAGTCTATGGGCAGTGTTGAGTCTGTGGGTAGTGTGAGTCTATGGGTAGTGTTGAGTCTATGGTACAGTGTTGAGTCTATGGGTAGTGTTGAGTCTATGGGCAGGTGTTGAGTCTATGGGCAGTGTTGAGTCTGTGGGCATGTTGAGTCTATGGGCAGTTGTGAGTCTATGGTAGTGTTGAGTCTATGGGTAGTGTTGAGTCTATGGGTAATGTTGAGTCTATGGGCAGTGTTGAGTCTATGGGCAGTGTTGAGTCTATGGGCAGTGTTGAGTCTATGGTGCAGTGTTGAGTCTATGGGCAGTGTTGAGTCTATGGGCAGTGTTGAGTCTATGGTGCAGTGTTGAGTCTATGGGCAGTGTTGAGTCTATGGGCAGTGTTGAGTCTATGGGCAGTGTTGAGTCTATGGGTAGTATTGAGTCTATGGGTAATGTTGAGTCTATGGGCAGTGTTGAGTCTATGGTGCAGTGTTGAGTCTATGGGCAGTGTTGAGTCTATGGGCAGTGTTGAGTCTATGGGCAGTGTTGAGTCTATGGGTAGTGTTGAGTCTATGGGCAGTGTTGAGTCTATGGGCAGTGTTGAGTCTATGGGCAGTGTTGAGTCTATGGGTAGTGTTGAGTCTATGGGTAGTGTTGAGTCTATGGGCAGTGTTGAGTCTATGGGCAGTGTTGAGTCTATGGGTAGTGTTGAGTGTATGGGCAGTGTTGAGTCTATGGGTAGTGTTGAGTGTATGGGCAGTGTTGAGTCTATGGGTAGTGTTGAGTGTATGGGCAGTGTTGAGTCTATGGGCAGTGTTGAGTCTATGGGTAGTGTTGAGTGTATGGGCAGTGTTGAGTCTATGGGTAGTGTTGAGTGTATGGGCAGTGTTGAGTCTATGGGTAGTGTTGAGTGTATGGGCAGTGTTGAGTCTATGGGCAGTGTTGAGTCTATGGGTAGTGTTGAGTATATGGGTAGTGTTGAGTCTATGGGTAGTGTTGAGTGTATGGGCAGTGTTGAGTCTATGGGTAGTGTTGAGTGTATGGGCAGTGTTGAGTCTATGGGTAGTGTTGAGTCTATGGGTAGTTTCGATTTAAAGCTTTCGTGACTGCAGGGATTCATCTTCTTGGTTCTTTCGGTAAAGTCACGTAGAAGGGAAGTAATAAAATAATAAAAATAAAACATAATAAAATAATTCTCACGACGTTTCGGCCACAACGCAAGCAGCCGTCCTCAGGTGAAGACCAGGTCTGTTGGAAAGACAGCGTCTGAATGCATAGTATAGTGTATAGTGAATGTGTATAGTGTATAGTGAATGTGTATAGTGTATAGTGAATGTGTATAGTGTATAGTGAATGTGTATAGTGTATAGTGAATGTGTATAGTGTATAGTGAATGTGTATAGTGTATAGTGAATGTGTATAGTGTATAGTGAATGTGTATAGTGTATAGTGAATGTGTATAGTGTATAGTGAATGTGTATAGTGTATAGTGAATGTGTATAGTGAATGTGTATAGTGAATGTGTATAGTGTATAGTGAATGTGTATAGTATATAGTGAATGTGTATAGTGTATAGTGAATGTGTATAGTGTATAGTGAATGCCATTCAGACGCTGTCTCCCCGACAGACCTGTTCTTCACCTGAGGACGGCTGCTTGCGTTGTGGCCGAAACGTCGTGAGAATTATTTTATTACGTTTTATTATTATTATTTTAGTATTTCCCTTCTACGTGACTTTACCGAAAGAAGAACCAAGAAGAAAAAAAATCACTCCGCTACGCGAGAATCCCGCTCTGCCCGTTCAACCTGCAAGCTTTGCGGACTAACCTCAAAAAAAGACATTTATATAATGGAAACATTCTTGTCGCTGTTATTTCTTTTTTGAACGCTCAAATCGTCTGCGCCCCGTGGCGACGCCGCTACTGCGAGGCGTGGCCGATCTCCACCAAACTTCTGCCGGGGTTATTTTGAACTTGACGGCGTTTTTAATTTTTGCTGATGTTGTTGCTGGTGGTGCTGGTGGTGGTGGTAGTGGTGCTGGTGGTGCTGGTGGTGCTGGTGGTGCTGGTGGTGCTGGTAGTGGTGCTGCTGGTGGTGCTGGTGGTGCTGGTGGTGGTGGTGCTGCTGGTGGTGCTGGTGGTGGTGCTGGTGGTGGGGGTGGTGGTGGTGCTGGTGGTGGTGCTGGTGGTAGTGGTGGTGGGTAGGTGGTGGGTGTTTGGGTGGTGGTGGGTGGTGTTGTTGGTGGGTGGGTGGTGGTGGGTAGTGGTGGTGGGTGGTGGGTGGGTGGTGGGTGGGTGGTGTTGGGTGGTGGTGGTATTGGTGGGTGGTGGTGTTGGTCGGTGGTGGTGTTGGTGTGTTGGTGGGTGGGTGGGTGGTGTTGGTGAGTGGGTGGTGGTGGTGGGGAGTGATGTTGGTGGTGGGTGGGTGATGGTTGGTGGGTGATGGTGGTGGGTGGTAGTGGGTGGGTGGTAGTGTTGGTGGGTGGTGGTGGGTGGGTGGTGGTGTTGGTGGGTGGTAGTGGGTGGGCGGTGGTGTTGGTGAGTGTTGGTGTTGGTGGGTGGGTGGGTGATGGGTGGTAGTGGGTGGTTGGTGGTGTTGGTGTGTGGTGATGTTGATGGGTGGTAGTGGGTGGGTGGTGGTGTTGGTGGGTGGTGGTGTTGGTGGGTGGGTGATGGGGGTGATGGTTGGTGGGTGATGGTGGTGGGTGGTGTTGGGTGGTGGTGGTGTTAGTGGGTGGTGGTGGTGTGTGGTGATGTTGGTGGGTGGTGGTGTTGGTGTGTAGTGATGTTGGTGGGTGGTGGTGGGTGGGTGGTAGTTGGTGGGTGGGTACGTGTACGAGTACCCGTTTGCGACCCTGGTGCGGCCGGGTACGAGTACGGAATCAAAACCCGTTTGCGACCTCTGCTTCTGACCCCGCGTGGCCCCCGAACGGAAAAATATGAAAAAGAGCTTCACGGCTCATCGGATTTCTCCAGTGCACACGTTTCTTATTGTGAGCGTACATTTTCTGACCCCGTGGCCCGCCGATCGGATATCTGTAGGCAAAAGACTTTTGTCAGCAAGTGTGTCGATGTGAAGAGAGGCTGTCGGCGAGACTGGAGGAACTTGGTTGTGAAATTCCAAAAAGAGACGGCTGGGAAAATTCTCCCAGAGAATTCACGAGGATAAAAGCAGGGCAAGGAGGGATGTTCGGGGCTGTCGAGAGGGAGACTCGGGGGGGGGGGGGGGGGGCGTCATCGCAACCTTCACGGCTTCGCTGTCCGCTCGGTCACACGATCTCCACGGCCGGCATTATCTCATGGCGACGCGGCCCTCGGCTGCATTTACGTGAAATAAAATTGAGTCCGGAGCCATTACATACGTAACAAAAATTTTGAGTTAGGTTTTTCGGTATAGTCACGTAGGTAAAAAATTAAAATTACGACAGCTGTATCAATTAAATGATCTCTCATTTACTTGATACAGCAGTCGTGGCTGTGACGGTTCCACCTGAAGACGGAAGCTTGTGCTGCCTCCGAAACGTGATTTTTATTTTATTTTACTTTTATTAATTGATCCTTGCAGTCACGAAAGCTTCAAATCTAGAAAAAATTTAGAGCTTTACGGCTCATAGGATTCCTCCAGTGAACTCGTTCTTATTCCGATCGTAACTTTCCTGAGCCCGTTGCTCCCCCGCCGAATATCTGCGAGGCACCGCAGGTCGGGCGTGGGGGGGGTGAGGGGGGGCACCCCCCCCCCCCACGGCGGCTAGGGGTCTCGCAGCACGTGGCACGGCCGCGCGCGCGCGTGCGTGCGTGCGCGCATGGGGAGAGGCCCGGGCTTTTTGGCCGTCGGCATTAACGAGGCCGCAATTTGCATTAATTGGGCTCCGAGAGGCCGGTCAAAGCCGGCGGATTCTATCTCCTCCTCCGAGAGATCTGAAAAGCGCGGTGGTGAAAAAAAAAAAAAAACTCCCGCATGTTAATCGGCGGCAAATTGGCCCGGAAGATTGAGAAAGGACGATTTGCATGCGAAACGGGCGGCGCAAGAGCCGTCCGTTAATTTCCTCCCTCCTCTGTTTTTTCGCGGATTACAACGCCGTACCCCGCCTCCCTTGCTGCTTGTTGATGCCGCTGCCGAGGAGCCAGGCTCCAAGCTTCGCCAAAACCTCCTCCTCCCCCTCCGTGCCCCCCGCACCAGAGGTCGCAACCGGGTACCCGATACCCGGCCGGTACCCGTTTGCGACCCTGGTGCGGTCGGGTACGGGTAGGCCGTGAGTCACTGGTGAGTCACCGTTTGTCACTCATTTCCCAACGTCTTGTCTCTTCTCACAATTCAAGTTCCTAGAATCAACCCACCCGCGCCTGCAACATGGCTTCATCCCAGAGGTCGCAATCAGGTACCCGTACCCGTACCCTACCCGATACCCGGCTGGGTACGGGTACCCGGGTATCGGGTAGGGTACGGCTTTCGGGTACCCGGTTGCGACCTCTGCTGCGAACCCGGCGGCCCGAGTTCGATTCCCGCTCGCGGCCAATGCCCGTGGCGATTATCCGAACCGGTCCTGGGCCTCCCCCTAGGTCGACTTGGCCTCAAGTGAGTACCTGGTGTGGTGCTTGCACATCGCCACTGGGGAGACAAAGGCGGCCGGGCGTGGTTCTGGCCACCCACCCCCTCGTGCGCCGTGCGGGAATTCATCGGCGCTCGCTAACAGCACTTGCCCCAGCAGTCTGTTACAGGCTACACGGGGGATCTTTGTCTCTGTCGTTCAAACGGCGGCCTTGCGAAGTCACGCGCGAGCTCACAGCGACGGCGGTACGGGATGCCGATTGGTCTTTGCCGACGGGGGAGGACATCAAGCTAAACACAAAAAAGACGTTCTAAAGAAATGACTTCCGATATTGGCTGCCCAATATCGGAAGGAAGTTGCGTTCCAGACGGCCGCAGAAGCGCCTTCGTTCGATCATAATCGCCGTCCATCCGGGGTTCAGCAAAATTATTATTATTCTTAGGTTTTTTCGGTAAAGTCACGTAGGTAAAAATTTTAAATTTCAATTAATAAAAGTAAAATAAAAATAAAATAAAAATCACGAGGTTTCGGAGGCAACACAAGCTTCCGTCTTCAGGTGGAACCGTCACAGCACGATAGCTGTATCAAGTGAGAGAAATTCCAAGAGATACTACCCCGTATATATACTACGGTTCCACCTGAAGACGGAAGCTTGTGTTGCCTCCGAAACGTCGTGATTTTTATTTTATTTTTATTTTACTTTTATTAATTTAAATTTTTTACCTACGTGACTTTACCGAGAAAACCTAAGAATATGAATCCTTGCAGTCACGAAAGCTTCAAATCTAGAATTCAGTAAAATTGCTCGGTCACGGAAATCTGAAATGTCTTGTCACTGGCTCGGGACCACCAATGGAGTGAGCGCCGAACCAAGATTCGATCGAGCCACAAGACTTATCGGCACGAAACAATGTGAAGGCCTTAATCAATTCAAATCGATTCTTTGTGCTCACCGTACTCGCAATGAATCACGTGCGCGGGAATCTATTATTTGCAATTTACGCTAATTGCACGCACGTGTGATTCAACACCAAGGCCAGGTTTGAAGCTTTCGTGACTGCAAGGATTCATATTCTTAAGTTTTTTCGGTAAAGTCACGTAGGTAAAAAATTAAAAATTAATAAAAGTAAAATAAAAATTAAATAAAAATCACGACGTTTTGGAGGCAACACAGGCTTCCGTCTTCAGGTGGAACCGTCACGCCACGATTGCTGTATTTTTATTTTACTTTTATTAATTTTAATTTTTTAACTACGTGACTTTACCGAAAAAACCTAGGAGTATGAATCCTTGCAGTCACGAAAGCTTCAAATCTAGAGTGAACACCCTCTACGGGGAGGAATTCCACCTATCTGTGAGAGTTTTTAACAGACAACGAGACAAGAAGTCACAGCTTCTCGAGACGCTGGCCTTCCTCAAGAGATGCCGAGATAACAAGATCATACCCATCGCTTTCAATAAATACTGTGTTCTTGGAATTTCTCTCACTTGATACAGCTATCGTGAGCTGTGACGGTTCCACCTGAAGACGGAAGCTTGTGTTGCCTCCGAAACGTCGTGATTTTTATTTTATTTTTATTTTACTTTTATTAATTAAAATGTTTTACCTACCTGACTTTACCGAAGAAAAAACCTAAGAATACCAAGGCCAGGGCTGAGATATCCCTGACCCCAAGCTTGGATGATCATGACGAAGAATCGAACCGAGAAAAACTGACACCCATTCCCGGAGTGGTTGCCGCTACAAGAACACAGGCCTAAGCATCGTACAAATCTAAGTTGTCTTGTGGTTGTTGTCGGTTGTTTGACTTGCATCCCACTGGGATTTTTGCACACAGCGTTGGTGTACGGTGATTTTTTTCTGAAATATTTTGCTGTCTTTTCTTGGATTTTATGCTTGCACTTAGTCACATATTCACTTTAAGATGTTTTTTGTTCATTTTGTATGCTCCAAGCATGGTGCTGTTTCATTCAGACGCTGTCGCCTCGACAGACCTGGTTTTCACCTGAGGACGGCTGCTTGCGTTGTGTTGTGGCCGAAACGTCGTGAGAATTATTTTATTACTTCCCTTCTACGTGACTTTACCGAAAGAACCAAGAAGATTTTTTGTTCATGTTTTTGTTTTTTGTTTGTTGCGGTTGCACCCGATTCAAGAGCCGAATGGCTCACAGGGCTACACCTAATACATGAACTTGAACTTGTAACTGTGTCACCCAGTGCTGGATTAAGCTAGTAAGCTAGTGCCCGCACTAGCTTAACCTGGCCTGTAGCGTCTGTTATGAAGGGGCACTCAATTACAAAAAAAACGTAAATATTAAAACACTAATTTTCTACTTGCACAGAAAAGTATTTTTTTGTGTCGTTAAACCCACCACCATCCGATACGGACGACTGGTAAGATCGTGGCCAATTCGTTACTAGTGCAGCACTAGCATATAGTGTAGTGTGTAGTGTAGTGTATAGTGTATAGTAGTGTATAGTGTAGTGTATAGTGTATAGTGTAGTGTAGTGTGTAGTGTATAGTGTAGTGTATAGTGTAATGTATAGTAGTGTATAGTGTAGTAGTGTATAGTGTAGTGTATAGTGTAGTGTGTAGTAGTGTATAGTGTAGTGTATAGTGTAGTGTATAGTGTAGTGTATAGTGTAATGTATAGTAGAGTATAGTGTAGTGTGTAGTAGTGTAGTGTGTAGTGTATAGTAGTGTATAGTGTAGTGTATAGTAGTGTATAGTGTAGTGTATAGTGTAGTGTATAGTAGTGTATAGTGTAGTGTGTAGTGTATAGTGTAGTGTATAGTATAGTGTATAATGTAGTGTATAGTGTAGTGTATAGTAGTGTATAGTGTAGTGTCTAGTAGTGTATAGTGTATAGTATAGTGTATAGTGTAGTGTATAGTAGTGTATAGTGTAGTGTATAGTGTAGTGTATAGTGTAGTGTATAGTGTAGTATATAGTAGTGTATAGTGTAGTGTATAGTGTAGTGTATAGTACACCACACCGGTGTGTTGGAGAGCCAAACCACAACATTTACAATCTGAGTAACGACGTTTCGCCAGTAATTACAACCAGCTTCATCAGGCGACGGCCAGATTTTAAATAATCAGGCGTCAGTTTTGGCGTCAAACCCGCGACCACCTGCATACCAAGCGATGCAGTTAACATCTCGCCTCCAAGGCTCCCCCATATTAGTCTCATTAGCAAGTGACCCGAAAGAGAGAGAGAGAGAAACAGCGAGAGATTCATACAGAGAGAGAGAGAGAGACACGGGGAGAGGCGCGAGAGATTAATGTAACATCAATCTGAGTTCAATCGGTACGGGGGATTAGTATTAACACCCCGTCCCACCCTCTCCCCACCCGAACCGCGTGGGTTTTCTTTGGCTACCGCGCGATTTCCTCGCACACGAACACAACACTCACGAGCGGAGTTGCCCAAACATTCTAACATAGGGCTGCAGAGCTCGGGCAATCATTGGCACCGCTTCCGGCTGCCTGCCCCCGGCTTTTCGGTGACGGCACTCGCTCGCTTGGTGTGTCGCATATGTCCGCGTGAAAACGCACACGGTGAAAGATTACGAATGCGACACCTTTTCCCCGATCGAAGTGAATCGAACAGAACCCACGCTGAGGGTGAATCGCGTTAAAGGCAAGCGTTATGGCTTCATGGGGGACCAGGCCCTAGAGTGACATTGCGAGGCTAGGACTGGGCTGGTTCCCATGGGGCATGGAGACACAGACCAGGGCCTAGAGTGACATTGCTAGGCCAGAACTGAGCTGGTTTCCATGGGGCATAGAGACACAAACCAGGGCCTAGAGTGACATTGCTAGGCTAGAGCTGGGCTGGTTCCCATGGGGCATGGAGACACAGACCAGGGTCTAGAGTGACATTGCTAGGCCAGAACTGGGCTGGTTTCCATGGGGCATGGAGACACAAACCAGGGCCTAGAGTGACATTGCTAGGCTAGAGCTGGGCTGGTTCCCATGGGGCATGGAGACACAGACCAGGGTCTAGAGTGACATTGCTAGGCCAGAACTGGGCTGGTTTCCATGGGGCATGGAGGCACAGACCAGGGTCTAGAGTGACATTGCTAGGCCAGAACTGGGCTGGTTTCCATGGGGCATGGAGACACAGACCA